GGGCAGCCAGATAAGTTGCTTACCACTTGACGTTCAGGGAGGTACGAAATTTGGCAGTTACCAACACGCACTAACCTGTGCTGCTTTTTACATGCACACACGAACTGTCGTGGCATAGGTAGAGTAGGCCCAGAATTTCGCTGCTTATATTACTATCATCTTTCGCTCCTCTTCGTAACTACTGCGAACTGTTAACGAACATAATGACTGAATAGCAAGTGTTAGCCTTTTGTATAATAGGGAATGACTTAAATAAAGAACTTTAGTAAGCGCCCGACCCATGTAAATTTACTGTCATGTTTTCTCCATGTTAACGTCGACAGTCCTAGATTTACTATTTTTGTAAAAACAAAACCAAAAGCCAGAGATTTTCAAAATGTAAGCATGGGTTCGGCCTTTGGTTCCATTTCGAAAATGTTATGTCCATGGTTTTGTTTCTTTAATAAATATTTAAAAACTTTTTTAAGGCCAGGTTTTGGGTTTTGTTTTGAAGTTACTTAGCTCACCTGTTAACGTATAAGTACTGAATAAAGACACCTCATATGTGAGGTTTAAATATTAAAATATTTATTTAGTCATTAAATTATAAAATACAAAGCTTGTGTATTTGTAAGGATGTATAGGGATATTCACAGTGGACGGGATCTAACGGGAGAAAGGGGCCAGGTCTGCAAGCCCGCTGGGGTTGGTTTGTTAGTGTCACAACCTAGAGACGGACGCCTGGGTTGCGGGAGCGTACGAAGTTAAGCAGCTCGTCACTGTCCTCACAGACGAACGGTTTCAGGTGGTGGCAGGCCACATCGTGCCATTTGATGCCGTCGTTGTAGAAGTTGTTCAGAATGGACAGACAGGACTCATCGTTGCCCTACACAACATACATACAAGGTCTCTCTAATATAAGATCAGTAATTTCTAGCCTGAACAGGTTGGTCTAGAGATAAGGCTCTGCACTTGTATTCGGGAGATAAAGCTCGATTACAATGTGATGGCAGAAGACAGTTTTCATGTGTACGGGTTCAACTGACGAGTCCGTATGCTCCTACAGCAGGTAAGATGGGTAGACAGCTCGGTTCTGCGTTAGAGTAGCTAGTGACGGACTTACTCATTCCACTCTTCTGTTCCCCCTTCATTCCCCTCTTTCGCGCAGGTTTGTGTCATCACATAGTAATCGAGCTCTACTCAATTTGACTCTTGGGTAGGATACAGACTACCTTGACTGAGGTTTCGGTATTTCAATAAGTTTCATTATGATGCTACCTTCCAATATCGTCCTGTCCCGTCTTAATGTTAATTTTGTTCAGTGTTTCCAGCCATAACTTTGTATTAAAATCAAGAAATCAAGTAACGGGCATCAAATAGTGCCGTATTAAAAACTATAAAAATAAGCAAGCTAACTAATATTTTGCTATGGGTTGTCAAGATTTATGATTCTAGCTATCAGAGCATTTACAATAAGCCATCATTATCTTGTCATTATCATTAAATCATCACTTATCATTAAATTTTCAATGCATTTTTGTTCTGCTTTTGTCTTTTAGGGCTACTTTTACTTCACTCAATACGGATAACAGCCAATTACTCCGGATTAACGAGGTTTACTGTTCAGTTCTATTACTTTTATGATAAAATGAACAGAGGGGCATCAAAAAGAGGAGTTTGAAGAACTGTAAAAATAAGTTAATTACTACTTTGCCGTGGATCGTCAAGATCTATGATTCGAGCTCTCTGAACCTTTACACAGTTTATAAATAAAGAAACATTCTCTCAGTGTTCGTTGCCGGAAGCTCCACATCGAATTCAGAATGGAGAGCTCAGATTTTGGCAAATTTTGGGAGGAGCTCGTCTTAGCAGAGGGCGCATTTACAGTGGTCACTGGGGTCTTGGAACTTTTCTGAAGAAGCTTTCCAAGGTCCGAATTTCGAGTTTCCATTCACAAGTCCTAAAAGGCTGAGCGAAAGTCTGACAGGTGTCAGTTTCGTGGGGTATAAACTGGGGAATTATTAGTTTGAGGTAGGAGTGTACAGAGACATTTTCATGTCCACATAGCTATAAAAATACTTCTTGAAATAATTAGCCGTTTTTTAGTGACAGGTAGTGACAGGACTACGGCTGTTTGACAAAATGGCCGGTGGGACGAAGTTGCTGAAGACTAAGAGAACTGGATTACTCTGCTAAAAGAATTTGCTGTTGCTGTTGTTTTACCTGGGGAGCCTCGCGGTTGTCTGGCTGAGGTTGGCCGAATCCACCCGTGTGGCTCCAGTCACCAGAGTTGCGCTGGGTCGTGGGTCCGATCTTGGCTCCCGAGCCAGACCAGAACCAACCATTCACATTTGGAGGCTGGAGGTCAGGACGGTTGCATCCATTGAAGTTGCATTTGCGCCCAGACGTCCAGATATAACGCACATTACCTGCAATTGAAGATTTTATGTACTCAGGAAGAACTAAAAGCTTAATGTAATTTTGAGATAATTTAGAGACGAGTGCAGTCCACGCCTTTGAAGCTGACTGCTGGGTTGCACGGAAGTGATCCCTGTGGCAAGAAGTACAGGGACACTGGTTGCATCCTCACTGTAGGAGAAGTGTGACTCACAGAAATTTGTATTGTAGCGTGTACAACCGTTCCGCGAGATAAGGCGAACAAACAGCGACCGTCTCTAGGCTACTACTCGGTACACACGCTCCCGGTGCAACGGATATGCACGCAACAATAGAAGAATGGTGTTTTCTGTGTGGTCCGCGCCGAGAAATTATAACCAGGACAGAGCAATGAGTGACTTGTAGCCTGTGTGGAGGCAGGGTCGAATACCCCCACCGTAGCCCTGCGAGTCTCAGGAGGCAACGAAAAGGAAACCCCGTGCCTGGGGGTATAACTGGGGCACCCTGTTCCTGGAGGATACAAATATGGGGACTTGGCACTCCAGGTTGGGGGAATCTGAGACAGTAAAATGTAGTTATGAGTCCCGTGGGACTCAGACCTGAGAATGACTGCGCTCGCGAAGGCCAACAGCAATTTAAACGACACATCTATTCTCTCGCCAGAGAGGATATTACATAAAGACTATGAAAGGAAGTGTTCAGTTGAAAAAATGCTTGTCATGAGTCTCAAACGGCTTGTTACCAAGACGAATTGATTGGCTGTAAACTGCCAGTCGTAAAGTCACTCTGACTCTGAATGAGTGAGTTGCTAGTTCAAAGTCAGCTTGTGAATAGAAGACTAGGAGTTTGGTCGTGAAATGGACTCCAGGACGAGAGTTGTTAGTTGAGAGCTGAGTTCTGCATGGGAGGCTGTGAAGATAGAATCTGAGCGCGTGAAGCTGAACGATATCTACTATTAAATGCCGTTGCCAAGGAACGGCAGTTGAAGACACTGCAGGCTGGAAAAGGCTCAGCGGGTGCTGTGGTGATTTTTAAAGTGTGTAGTTCCGAGTGGTGTGTATAACTGGTCAGTAAATCCATTCACCAATCCATACCTCGTCTGTAGCCGCATAAAACATGAGGCAACCCAGGAAAATGTGTCAGTTTGAAGTATTAATAACAGCCTTCTTTTGATATCGGATTAAGCCTTGGTTTACATGAATCTTATCAAATGAATACGCAGAGAGAAATCCCTGAAGAGTGTACATGGCCGTTTGTCGAGTGCTATTAGTTAGTGCTCGTTTCATCAGCGGTAATAATCGGAAAGTAGGCAATACAGCTTTTAATAGTAAACGAGGGTTATTAAACTTGTTTTGAAATGTCATAGTGGCATTTATGATCAGGCCTTTAGAAACACAGTGAGTTTCTCAGGCTGTGCCACCAAGAAGCGAACCTACGCGATGTGGGTCCGACCGACTTCCGACTCTTCATTTTGATTTCGCTTTCAAAGAAACTAAAACCTGCAACAGTCGAATGTGTTGGATGATATATGTCCCACAGATATATCTGCTGTATCTCTTGAGGTCTGTATGTCTCACAAGAGCATGCAGACTTAAGGATTCGAGTCCTCTTTCGATTTATTAGAATCTTACTCTAAAGGGTCGAGTCTACTTAGCATGTATCAAAATTCACTTGTCAGTAGTCCCCCCGTTAGCACACAAAAGCGTTGACATTCTCTAAGTCGCCCGTGGCGGAGGAACAAATGGACTGTTTGTTGCGTCACCTCTGGCAATCCTTTGCTTGATAAACTCGTTCTCCTGCGGAGTTTCCAAGGAGACGGCGTCCATGCAGTGACGTCTGCATATGTTTCTAGCGTCAAGCCAGTCCACTTCCAAACTGCGGGTTGGTCCGTGTTCCCAACTGAAGAAGTAAGCATGTGCTACTCCTCGAGCATCTCTGTAAGTCGAATGCCGGACCCCTGCAAACAGAAATCACCCTAGCCTATATTCTAAGTACATCTATAGGCAGTCAGTTCTTATCGCAAGAATACTGGGACTGCATTGAATTGATCAGGAAAACCAGTTAAATGTAAGGTAAAGCTATCCCTATAACAGGCCGTGGAGTTCAATAGGGTTGTGAGACGTCGAGGTTCCCACATTTTCTAGACAATCGGCTCACAAATGGAGGTGAGGTCAGCCTTAAGCGCCGGCCGCCCACTACCTCCCAGGAAGATTCCTGGTACTCATTTCTGTTAGAGGTTGAGTGTGGCTTGAAGGATTAGGTCAATTTGAAAAATCCGGTGACCTCATCGGGAATGGAACACGAGAGGACGATTTTCAAACAAATCAATTGATACATTGTGTAAATACACGTACAAGTAGTAAGAGCGTTCATATCAGAGCTCAGGCGTTAGCTTCCCGCTACGGTTGCTCAGGCTCGATCCCATGTTATGCCATGTGGGATTTCTCGTGGATGAAGAGGTATGAGGGCTCTCGCTCCACCACCTGCCCCAACTTCATTAATCGGTTCTTAAGAAATAAATTGAAAACAGCACAGGCCAATTGTCAGATTTACTCATTTCCAGTATTTTATGCTGACAAGCTAAATGCTGACGTCACTGAGCCATGAAGACATGGGACAGTGGAAGTGTACCTCCACCATTGTTGACCTCAGCATTAGATGTGAATGAGCAGTCAGCTTGATGCCTCTGCTGCTTTACGCCAGAGTAAGAGCTCCAGATGCCCGTTAAATAGGAGATTGTGTTCGCCTCAGAATCGATGGTCGCTCTGTGGAGAAGAGAGAAATCTGTTGCTCCTTCCGGGAATTGAACACCAGTTCCCCGGTCGCCCAGCCTGTGGCTCGTCGCTGTATCGCCTGAGTTATCCTGCTCTATTTTATGCTAGCGCCGGTACCAAAATGCTTAATAACTTACCCTATAATAACATAACATGAGTCAATGGTCATAATATAAAGAAAAACTCCGTGATTTCAGTCCGCAAGCGAACTATACCGACCGAGGGACCGCCGCTTGTCGGCGAAGTTAGTGCCAACTTTTGCGGATAGAGGGTGTCGCATGGTCAGCGCAACGAATCCCCACGGCCGTTAATTTCGGTTTTCTGGACCGGAGCCGCTATTTCCTTGAAATTGCTCCTCAGTTATCATCACGAGGCTGAGTGGGCCCCGTTCCAGACACACTACTACTCAGAAAAAAGCTGGTAGCCCCGGGAATCTCTGGATCTGTAGCCAAGAACTCTGACCACTAGACCACAGAAGCGATTGTCATAATATAAAATTACATTAAAATATATCGTAAATGGGCACACCTTTTACTCTGTTCAAGAATACTTAATATGTAGAAACGATCCATAACATATGGTAAGGCCTCTATTTTATATAATTATTCCATAATCATGTAGTATTTCGCGTTCATTTCATGTGTTGTATCTTTATGACTTATTCTATGGCCGACTGACGTCTGGCAAATTTTGGATTTGGGGAATGAATACATGCATGCATGCATGCATGCAGAGTCCAGAATTTCGCGGATGTGACTATAGAGTATTGTAATTTGTGATGTTTATCGATGTACTACAGCGTTCATCTTTCTTTGGGCTGTTATTAATTGCTTGTAACAATCTTCACGCTATATTGTTTTAGTTACCCTTTCAATGAACACCACTGTACTGTTTTCTTGCCTTTGTTGGCGCGTACTGCCTTCCGGTCACTATTCATAGGACGGTCCTGTGCTTCGCCTTTCTAGAAGAACCGGGGAGAAGATGACATCTGGAAACTTCGACAGCGATGCGCGAGTGTCCGCGCAACACCACTCCCGCCTTAAGGCTCCTCGTCCCGAGTAATGCTTACATGCGATCCCAGCCTGCCCAAGTGCACATCTTCATCTTTACTCTGGGATTACTCTGGATTCTCTAGACTACATCGTTGAAGCGGGCTAGAAACTTGTAAGGCCATTTCAAGGATGACCATAACTCCGGCGACTTCCCTCTGGTACGGGTCGCGAGATACAACCAGACATGTTCTCCTCCCTGGAATCCAAGAGGGTTGACAGGAAGGTCATCCTGCCGCTGGCCACTTCAGATGTTGACGTGTGTAATCACGGATGCTATGCAACCGTTTCACTGGATCCACCCCTCATTTGGACTTTTGTCAATTCTTGTCTGGTCGCATGTGAGGTGTAGCTCCCTCCATGGTGGACTCCGTGCCTGTGAACTCTGTAAGTCAGCGGGTGGACCGGTAGCCATTCCTACCCAGTCTCTGATTCGTCGATACGGCCTTCTTCAAGTACGCCTCTGCTGCTTCGACGGAGCATTCCATCATGCTATCCAACTTCGGAGTCAGAGAGGTGATGCGCGTGTTGCATACTCCAAGGCGCCGTAACACTTACTGCGGCAGCCGTGATAGGATTTGCGGCCTTGGTCTCTGTGCAGTTGCTCAGAAACCCTGGGTCAGGAGAAGCTGAGAATACCCGTATTTTGTAGACTTGGAGCATCCTGAACGGAAGCTGTACTTACTGTTGGCACAGCTGCGGGGATCTGGCAGTGCGAGCCGGCGTTGAGACAAGACCATCGTGGCCCCTAACAGGAGGAGCGTCAACTGTCGAAGCATGATGGCGGTGGTGCGAAATCTCCTCCTGCAACAAACATACAGAAACATTGTAAATACTTGATGAATTTTAACCGGAGGGCATGGGATCAGTTCCCTGCTTCGATCACTTTATGACGTTGTTTGTAAGAAAAGGTAAAACTCCCCCCCCCCGTAACAAGCCGTAGAGGCCCCTAGGGTTGTGAGATGTCGAGGCTCCCACATTTTCTGGACAGTCGGTTCACAGATGGCGGTGAGGTTGTCAGCCTTATGAGCCGGCCGCCCTTTACCTCAGGAGGATTCCTGGTACTCATTTCTGTTAGAGGCTAGTGCGCTTGGAAGGATTATGTCAACTGAAGAATCAGGTGCCGTCATCGGGAATCGAACCCGCTACCTTCCGGCTTGTAGCATAGTGTCTGAACCCTTATGCTGTCTGTACCTTGAATGTATTGTGTCGAATATTAGGATGTCTGTTGAATGGCCAACTTGAAGGAATTTTTTAAAGGAAGCAATAGTGACGTAATCGAGAGATTTTCTTGGAGGGACAGGGTAAAACTACGGAAACCCGCACTCATGATAGCCGATTCCTCTGTCGAGAACGCTTTGAATACTAGTGTAATACCTCTACACAAACGCTCCATGCTCTGGGAATATATGCTTATGGTATATCTCCATGGAGATGGAGGCGCTTCTGTGGGCAGAGACCCAGTGCAAGTGAATCACTTAAGTTTCGAGGAATGAGAGAGAGAGAGAGAGAGAAATCTCAGAGAAGGCCGACGGCGTGATACATCAGTTTCTTGCGTGGATGTTATCCAGCGCCTAGGCAGTGCATACTAGCCTGGGTGTTCTGACAGTAGAATCTGTCAATTCAGGGAAGAATAAGCGAGAAATACTCTATTGCGTAAGGCCTGCGAAGTTCATCCAAAATGTATAGAAAGATTCAGTAAATAAAACATTTCTAGTATGAAAGGGCTGCTTGGCCAAACTTAACGGGGAAACACTCGTAGGAGGTAAAGGTACCCAGTTTCGTGTTAGAGCGCAGTTCTTTGTTTTCCAGAGGGTTCTAACGACGGCGTATAACACTCAGAGTTACTGGGTTTTCGCGCTTTACCAAACGTCCGGTATTATAAAACTAGAAAACAACACTTCGGAAACTGCTCCTGTTCCTCCGTGGGTTTTTATAAGGTTTTCTTCTTCAGTGTTCAGGTTTTACTTCACAGTTGGCGCTAGCACTAGGCATTATACGTATATGTTTTCACAAATCCTTCATTTAATTCTATGCGTTGGTGTTCATGTACTTGGTTTGTTGGTTGGGTGCGTAGCATAAATTTATACCTCCCTTTGTTCCAAGAATGTGCGTGCTTCATCACAATGTTTTCTGCATTTTCTCATACCTTCCTGTTATCTCCCTTCGATATGGACTGCCCTCATGTATTTAAATACCTCCTGTGTGGAGGCAGGGGCGAATGAATAACATAGTACATGTGCGAAATATGCACTTGACCAAAAGCCAAGCATATTAATAAGAGACACACCAATCTTCTCGTGAGAGAGAATGTCCCATAAGGACTATTACTGCAAAAGCCCAGTTGAAAGAAAAATTCTCTGGTCGTAGGTCTCGAGGGGCTTGGCGCCAAGACGAACTGATTGGCAGTAAACTGCAAGTCGTAGAGTGGCTCTGATTTTGACTTGACGTGGTCGAATACTTCCACCGTAGCCCTGCGAGTCGTGGGAGGCGACGAAACGGGAACTCAGTGCCTGGGGGTATAACTAGGCCACCCTGTTCCTGGAAGATATAAATACGGGGACCTGGCCCGCCAGGCTGGGGGAGTCTCGAACAAGACACAATAAAATGTGGTCACGAGTCTCGCGGGACTCGGACCTAAGAGTGACTGTGTTGGTGAGGGCCAGCCGCAATTTTAAACTACAGGCCCATCCTCTCGTCAGAGAGGATATTATATAAGGACTATGAAAGCAAGTATTCAGTTGAAAAAGAATACTGGTCGTGAGTCTCAAGGGTCTTGTCACCAGGACAAACTGATTGGCGGCAAATTGCCAGTCGCAAAATAACTCTGACCCTGACATTGGTTGTCCAGTGATTGAGGTTAGCTCTTTCTAAGGGACCCGATAGAGTTGGTGTCTCCCCTCACCTGAGGAAGGAAACAGATCCAATTTCCGAAACGTTGTGTTTCCTAGTTTCTAAAATGCCTGACGATGGACAAAGACCGGAAACTAAAAAACTCTGAGTGTATTTCTTTGTTAGACACTAAAATTTCACCACAGGAAATTACATATAGGCCCTTGTTCCACAGTTCTCCATTATAGAGTCCGTGTATGGAAATCCGTTGTAACAAATCGAGCAAGAAGCCCGCAACTTTTCGTACCGATCTCACGGCGTCACACCGCGAAATTGTGTAGCTTCATCCCAAAAAGAACTCCGTGGCCTGTAGTCCGCAAGCGAACTATACCGACCGAGCGACCGCCGCCAAGTAACTTCATCCCGTTATGGTTCATAACTTCTTTAACACTAAGTTACTGTCCTCTGGAATATGACGCCGTGTAGTCTGGAGATCCCTGTCAGACTGTATGGTGGCAGTAGGAACCCGAACACGAGTAGTTCTACAACCTGTTTACACTCACAGGAAGCTATGAAATGTTCCTGTGAAGTGACGAGAGATATTTCATGATTTTTCGGCTGAATCTGCATGTTCAGAAAGCACCTACATGAAAACAATTCTGATTTGCCAAAGCTGTGCGTGGATACTGTTACATTTTGAATAAATCTTGGCTCCTCCAGCACAAAGGGCAGGTAGTTATCCCCTGGCCTGTCGAGACCTACAGTTTGAGAAACGTGGCCCCGGTATTCAGAATTGAAGAATTAAATTTCCTCCTTTTTCTAAGTTTAATATTTAGCGATAGTACAATAGTATTGTCACGTGTAGGAGTGACTATAGAAGGGGTTTGGATTGTTGACTCGATTTATTGACCACGTAGAAGTCGTAACTACAAATAATTATAACACTATCGCTATATCCACACTTTACAGTTCACTAGAGCACACATTCTAGTGTTCTCAGTCTGTTACTAGACGTTTCCTGATAACGGCTCCAAAAATGGCTATTCCCTTGCCTCCAGCTCAAGTTGTTTTCACATACTCCCGTACAGACCCTGTCCCTTACTTACGTATATATCATCTCGGCACGGACTACGCAGTAAACACAGCTCTTCTATTGTTTTAGTCCAACTGTTGCATTATTAAGAATTTGCTGCCCAGCAACGTGTTTACCGAGCCGTTGGCCCAAAATAGGTCTTGCATATCCGCCCACCTCGCTGTCATTGCATAGCAACGGCTCTATACGCCACGCTATATTTCTTTCCTTTTTTCTGTTTCTTCTTCAAAATTCCAAAAGGGGTAGGGGAAGATGCTTAGCTTGTCCCTCCGTTTCAAGGGGCATGCGCAAAGGTGATTTGAATGCGCTAAAAACATGCGGAAATGCGTTCAATTCTGTGTTATTGTGTAAGTATAAGTACAGAGTTAGAAATGCAAGCCAGTTTGCCTCCCAGGCACGTCATGTGAAATGACTGGGTCGTGTTGCGTGTTGCTGTTATTTCGCCTGAGGTATCGAAACGGAATGGTTCCAAACATAATGACGCCTCTGCGCAGGACTCAACAGTGACTGCAGGTCTCTGGTATGCGGAAGATTGAATAAAATGAGGTAGAGAGGAACGGTGATAAAATGCAGAACAACATACAAGATTATTATATGAAGCTTGGTAGTTGCTAAAAGGACGGAAACACGGAAACCGAACATAACGAGATTCCTTAGATCATTGGATAACCCAGTCGATATAATTTGTGAGCTCTGATCTATGGAGCAGCGTCCTTATTGAGAAGCTAATATTCGCTCATCTACGAGGGAGAATCAGTAGACAGGACACAAATGGAAGTAAAACAGCTTTAATTGACGAAATAGGTTTTCTGTGTAAATTTCTAGGTGGCAGCACAGTCCAGATTCACGACAGGCTAGGTAATAGACTCGCATATTCGTACACGTTTTCAGCAGCTGGTTTTAGTAGTCAAAATGGTAACCATGCTTGAGGAGTATGCTACCGAAGAACAGCGTTCTCTTATGCGTTTTTGTGGGCAAAAAGACTCAGTGCGAAGGATATTCATAAAGAAATATTTCCTATTTACGGTTGGAAATGCATGCCTCTTTCACCTGATCACCAGTATCTGATGAATCACCAGGATATATTCACAAGATCGTAGTTAGCATGTTTGGGTCCTGTTGGCGGCATGTTTCAGTGCCCCCGTGTCTGGCTGCGCCTTGTTAAGTGCTCTCGTCTATCCTGTAGCTACTTGAAACCACTGAACCTCTCTGCATGAAATTTGATAACCGGGAGTGTCAGTTTTTCCGTGTTATTTTCAAATTGAACAACAGTAACGGACACTTCACATGGAGATTCTGCATGCGTTTCTGTGCATTTCTGGAATGTAACTCGTCAAACATTTACTGGAGCAGAAAATTCTTGGAACAGGAGTTGCAGAGAAGAACGAACCAAATATGTGCGTAAAATACATTGTTTTCTTTCACCGAAGCTTTGCAGTTCTGTTCTGTGTATATATTTCACGGTTGTTAACCTTTGAATGTGTCTCCAGAAAGAGGCTGTGGAAATTCCACTTCGTTTCGCAAATGGCGAGTCGGTTCACGTCATACACAGTTAATGATTCTAGCAATGCGGGCACCGCCATCATGTTACGGGATTTTGAAGGCTGCATTGCCGATTGAGGCGTCTGTTTATCTTGGCGCACATTGAGGGCAGTGTTGTTTAGCGACACCTTTTCTCCTTCATAGTTTACACGAGGCTAAATGACAACGTAATTGTGAACAATAAATTGGAAGGGATTTTTAAGGATGTCATGGCCTATTTTAAGGTATTTCAGCATTTTGTTGGTGGACTGAGCTAAACCTGGAACAGCCTGGTATTAGGGCAGAGATTCGAACACTCAAACCAGGTCTGCTAACGTCTGGACGTCTGCGTTCTATA